GAACAAATGACCATTTTACCCTTCATGAACCAAAGAGCGCGTCACACGATATTTTCCTGCAAGAATCAATCCACTGCCCAAACCTGTTAGCGACTAGTTAAGTTCAATGCATAAATGCAATGGAATGCAAAATGAAACGACAAATCTTAAGGCAAAATTTGGGGTATTACATTTATTATGTTTTAAAATTTAAAATTTAAATCAATTTATTCACTTTAAAATTTAGTGGCTAATCAATTTTAATTTTTTATTTAAGTTGATTTATAATTTAAAATTTTAAAAATATTTATCATTTAAAAACAATAATTATTATTTAAAAACTATATTTTAAAATTATATCACAATTATATTTATATTAAACCTAAAAGTATATAAAAAAATATTTATTAAACCTAAAAAATATTTATGTCAATTTATTAAACCAAAAAAGTATTTATTAAACCTAAAAATATTTTATATCAATTTATTAAACCAAAAAAGTATTTATTAAACCTAAACAATATTTATATCAATTTAAGTTTATTTTTAATTAAACCTAAATAATTTAAGTTTATTTATAGGTAAAATGCGTAAACTCTAAAGTCCAAGCTGTGTCGCCATGAATGGGTGACTGCATTAAAGCCCAAATTCCAATTTGCCTGTGTCGTCAAATCATATGGCGACTGCACTATAGCCCATTTTCCAACTTGCCTGTGTCGCCAAATCATATGGCGACTGCATGCTGAAATGTAGTTGATTTGGAAATTTTTTTGAATATCTCATTTAAGTGGTAATTTAATTGAAATACATGGTTATTCTAAAAAAAATATTCATCAATAGTCTTGATTATCTTTTTGTTTGTATAATAGAATGTATGTGATGCCGTATATAATTTCACCAAGTGTGTTTCGTCTTATGATATATACGTAATTTTAAAATGGTGAAGTATACGTATAAATACTTAGAGCAACTTTAACGCAGAGTTGTTAAACCAAAATTCTTTATAACTTACGTTAGTAATAAGGAATTTGCATTATAGGAGAGCTGACATGGCATCCAAATGAACTAAAATTTAGTTTCCATTATCTATATAGTTAACGTTAACTATGTGAAACCTATTATAATATTATTTAATATTAATAAAATATTCAAAATATTCCAACAACATTAAAGTAAGGATATGATATTTGAAAATAGTAACGGTCATATTATCATTTTTTACCTTCTATAAATTCTATAGAAATTTTAATTTTTTTTACACACAGTTTTACTTCTAAATTTTTTTCTTTCAATTTCCAATCTTATTTATTTATCAAATGAATCCCAACCAATGGAATCCTTATTATAATTATATTCCTATGAAAATGTAATTTTTTTTATGTATTATTGTTGTGAATTTTGTATCATTTTTAATTTTATAATAAAATATATTTAATATTATTTTTAAGTTTTTAAGGTAAATTTTATTTAAAAAATTATATGTATTTTAATTAAAATAATTAAATTAATGGTAACTTGAATAAAAAATATAAAATGTGGGGTCAAGTTTTGGTTTCTTATAGACAACCACCATTAAAGTAAAAACTACTCAAATCAACTATAAATTTTTTAAATCCTACAAATCACTTTGGGCTCACAAAAAGTATCTTAGTTTACCCATTTAGTTTACTCCCACTAAAGATGCTCTTATAGGATACTAGTATGTGTTTTGTATTTATGTTATGTTTTATCAATGTGTCTCGAGTGTGTTGTTCTTATTAGATTGGTCCTTGGATTGATTGTATTTTAGCAAAACAATAAATTGGAGAAGTGTCCAAGTGTTCTAGATTGGTCTAACATCCTAAAATTGTATGAATCTGCAGAAAGGTTACATGTTGGGCGCGATGCTCCAGTATGTTGGTACGATATTTGGGCCTTGTGCAACAGGCACCAGAATGCTATGTTTTGAAGTGTGTTATGCATAAGATTGGTCAAAGATTTCATTGTTATTGATTTGACAATATGATTAGATGATTTGTTTGACAATTGTATGAAGTTTAATTCAAGATTTCAATGAACATGTAAATTTGAATTTAAATTAAAAACAAATCATATCTTGTTGGAGATATTCATGGAGCAAATCAAATATCCAATAGATTGTGCAAAGATTCTGGACGAAAATATCTGAAGATTCACAAGGGAAAAGCTGATAGTTATTTGTTATATAAAGAGATCAAAACCTGCATTGGAAGAAAAGCAGTCCCATTGAAGATCTTAGAGTGTTTAGGTTTCGTGACGTTTATTCACACTAATGCCCTTATAGGATTAGTGTTGAATCTTAATGTACACTTTTATGTTTCAGTAACTTGATATTGAAGGTTTGTATAATTGAGTTATAATCAACATTGTTTATGTACACCTTAATCTTTGCCTCTCTCATTAGGATCGTGGCAGAGAAGAGAATGAATAGGTTCTCTTCGGCTAGGCCCTCGGTCTGGAGAAGGCTGCAACGACGTTGTTCTTCTTCTGAGCCGGGGAGCGTCGCTTTTCTCGGGGACGTGACCTGTCCCTCTTGTGAGAAACCATCGGCCAGGGTCGCTCAAGATGGGGACGGCGCCCTGACGGTCGAGGAGATGGGCTCCTGGAGTCCTCTACGTACTGTGTCTTCCGTGGGGGAGACAAGGGACTGATGGAAGCCTAGCGAAGGTGTCTCTGTAGGAGAGAGAGACTTATAGATTATTTCGACAGTGTCTCCTCGGGGGAGAGAGGCTGACAGAGTGCCGTCTACGGTGTCTCCGTGAGAGAGGAGACGGACTGAGAGAAACGGGCGGCGGTGTCTCCGTGGGAGAGAGCGCGACAGTTGTTCCCTCTCGAGCGTCCTCGTTGGAAAAGGGGGTAAAGGCGGATCCCTGTGCATTGTCGTTACGTGGGCTGGCCATGATTGAGATGAAAATGTTGGTGGTTGCTTTGGTCCCTGGGCTGCTATGATGGGATAGGAGGAGGGACGGGGAAGAAAAAGTTTCCCACAGACGGTGCCACTGATCTTACCTGATCAGAAAGTATCAATGGCCTGCAACGCGTCGCTGGATTGCTGTTTTCACCAGAGTTGTGGGGAAAGAGGGGGTGTAGCTGCAAGACACTCCAATGCTTAAGTGAATAAAGGATGAGAGAGAAAGCAAACACATAAATTAGGTGTGAGGAAGAAGTTACCTGACCCTCTAGTGAAAGAGGGTATTTATAGTGTTCCCCCAGCGCAGGACTAACGATTACATTATATTGGGCCAGACTGCCAGGCCCAACCCAAGTAACTGACAGGGCTTACGTGGCGTAGTGAAGACCAGCATGTGGTCTTCGCCCTTGATCAACTGCCCCGTGATCTTCGGAAGATGGGTTGGCCGACTCTTTCGGAGGTGGGTAGTTTCCTGATGACGTGTCCCCGTGTGGGGGCCACGTGGAGGACGTGGAGAAAACGTGTGAGCCTCCCCGTCAAGGGAGTCGTCTGTCCGACATATATGCCTTGTTGAGGCTCGTGCCCGACAGAGGGGAATTGGGCCTTGCTGGGCCTCATCATCATAGCGTTGGGTTGGTCCTGCCCGACTGAGAGGCAGGTCCCGACCTAGTCCAAAACACCAGACTTCTTACAAGAAGGACACAATTTCATACATTTGTCACAAATTCTATATCACTTTGACTCAGATGTGTTAATTATAAAGAAAACATAAATGAAATTGCGAACCATTTCTCTAGAAGCAAAATCTATTTATATACTATGTGTACATCAATAACAAAAGTTCACACTACCTTTTGTAAGGGAAATGTCTCCTTACTTACTTTTTGTAAGTCTTTGTTGTCTATTTCACGAGAAGTTTATACTCATTAAAACCTTGCATCCTGAGTACAAAATAAGGGACTGGACGTAGATCTTACTCTCTTCTCAATGATTTGGACACCTGACGTAGGTTTATGCAAGTCCATGTGATTGCCATATTTCGAGAACTTCATCTTCGCCGTTGTGCTTGTGAGGTATCATGACGTTCTCTTGCCTTTTGCAAGTTCCATCTACCTTATTAATGAAGATTATCATCTCCTTTTGCAAGTTCCCCCTGCCTTTTGTATAAGATTCAACTTACCTTTTGTAAATATCCTCTGCCTTTTGAAGAGGAAATCCCTTTTATTTCATATTTGCCTTTTGTAAGAGTCTTATCACTTTTAAAGTGTTTAACATCTGCTTTTCATCCATTGTAGCCAATCTCGTTGACCATAAAATCAACTAAATACTCAAGGAATTCTTCAATAGGTTTCTCTTCAAAGTGAGATACGGCAGTCAGCCGTTTTAGATATATCTATTCCCATAATGGGTGCAACAAAAAGAGATCCATAGGAGCATGAGATTGGTGTAGTCTTAAATTTCATTATATGCTTGAGTTTATTTTTAAATTTACAAAATATAGACCAAACTAGTATTACTATTTCACAAGAATTATAAATTGGGAAAGGAGAATTTATATACTCAAGTCAATAAACTCTTACATGTGATTAATTCCAAGATTAGTTAAGTAAATATTTCAGCAAATAATGTGACAATTTTGTGTTAGGGATATAATTGTTTAGGCTCGCAGGACCAATGATTCATCACACTTTTTTATGTGAAAAAGTAAATTAACAATGAATACGCCTAAAGTAAGAAAAGAATAAGCCAAAACAAAGTCATCTTAATTGTGAATTTGAGCATTAATGTATGCTTAAGTAATTTCTTAATTCCCTTTTTCACTTGATGTTTTATTTTAATATTATGTCTCTTCTTCACTAGGTTATCATATCTTCACTCACACTCAAACTATTCAATCCCAACAAAATATTATTCAAGTAAAAATAGAAAAGAAAAAACTTGGAACACTAGGCTAAAACTCAGGTAATACAATGCAAATGAAATTGATTGGCCAACTGCCTTATTCAAAACATTATTAAGGAAAACCAAGTGGGAATCCTTGAAAAAGGGAAAATGGGTACAGTTTGAATTAAAACATGATCCTATAAATTATTTAAACATCACCATCCCACAACTCTTCCAAAGATTTATAAGGTCCATTTTCAAATATGAACATTTCTGCTTTTAGAGTTCTCATTTTAGAAATTTGATTGATTTTGTCTGACTCTTCCTGACTCAATTCCCAATCAAATATTTCAAGGTTTTGTTTCATCCTCTCCTTATTGAAGCTTTTCACAATCGCAGTTACTCCATGCTGGTATATCCATCTTAGTACTATCTGCATAATATGTATCCACATTAGAGATATGTTAAATCCTATTAAAATCTTAATTATTAGACATATTTCAAAGTCGTCATTGGAGATAGTTTGCAATAAAGTAATGATTTCAACCTGGGGTACACTCTTGTTCTTAGCCTTAGCAATTTTGTGCAGAATTGGATTATCCATCACTGCAGCTGAACCCCAAGGATCTTTGTATGCTCCTAGTGGCGACCATGCACCAACATGAATTCCTTTCTGCTTGCAGAATTCTCTGAGTTTCTCTTGATTCCACGATGGATTCATTTCCACCTAAATACAAATAAGAATGTGTAACATGAAGATTTGCCATGTCTATAATTAGTAGTATGTATCATATCTAGATATATCCTACGTGTAACAGTATTTGATACGTTTCTGTAAATTTTCCATTTTGAAGTAAATACGAAATTTTTTTTAGTGTATTTCATGTTTATGTGAGAATGAATCAAATCAAATAGTGTTAAATTCTTATACCTGGTTAACTGCTGGAGTGATTTTGGCATTTTCTAAAAGTATGGAGAGCTTTTTGGCACCAAAGTTGCTAACACCAATAGACTTTGCTAAGCCCAATCTATGAACCTCTTCCATAGCTTCCCATACTCCTTTTATGTCAATGGGAATCATATCCTCACCTGTAAAGTTTAAGCCTACAACATCTTGTTTGAACCTTACTGGCCAGTGAATCAAATAGAGATCCACATACTCTAAACCCAGATTTCTAGACAATTTAACCAAAAATAAAATTAGTCAAGTAATAAAAAGAAAAAGCTTAGAAGAAGGATAAAAAAAAGATAAGAGAAATATGCTTACTTGAGGGTGGTTTTGAGAGCTGGGAGAACAAGGTCATGGTGAGCATCAGTACACCATAACTTGGAAGTAATGAACAGTTCGTCGCGACTTTTAACGAGGCCTTCCTCTAAAGCCTTGGACACAGCTTGGCCTAGAAGTTGTTCAGTATTATAGAAAGCAGCCGTATCAAAATGTCTGTAGCCAATTTTAATGGCATCAATCAAAGCTTCTGGAGGAGGAGGAGTTCCTGTTCCATATCCTATCGCCGGCATCTTTTCTCCTGAATTTAGAACCACATCTGGAACACTATTTGCTGCCATCTTCTTTTGTTTTTGTGTTGGTTTAAGGGACAAATTTCTCAAAATTCACAATTTTCTGTTATGAATGTTAAATTTGAGACTTGAGTATTGGCTATAAATAATAGTTTAAGACATAAAGAAAGTATTACATTTATTATATTATTGATTATTGATTATTGAATATTGAACATTATTGAATATTGACTATTCGTTGCCTAATGAGCAAAGCAATGATAAAAGCAAGATAGTGAATGATAGTGCATAATATGTATTCACATTCAAGATATGTATAACTATCATCTCAAATCAATATAGTAGTACATTTATGACTTTATGAAGTTTGAAAGGTTGACTTTATAAAGTTTGAAAGGTTGATAAAGACATAACATGTATCTACATTAGAGATATGTATGCAACTGTCATCGAGTTTGGAATATTCAGAGATACAATACGTATCCACATTAGAGATAGGTTTGAATTTGTCAAGTTTGAAAGACTTGGTTCATTGACACAGGGTTGTATTACAACTTAAATGACAAAAAAGTCTAAAGTTTCACGACTGAAGTAAAGGATGCTTGAATTTAAAAACACGTTATTAAAATCTTAGTTGACTGAACATATTTCAAAGTTATCATTCAAAATAATTTGAAATGATATAATGAGAACATTCTTCGTTCTAGCCTCGTCAATTTCAGACATAGTTGAATTTTCCATCATAACTGCAGGCGAGCCTTTAATTAGTTTATATTTAAATATTTAAAAAATAATGTACGAGTAGTTTGTATTAGCATACTTTTAATGTATCTTAGCATAACATATTGGAATTCCCCAGGTTATTCCTTTGCAATCAATCAATAATCTTTAGTATAATTTTGTTTGTATAATAGAAATTATGTGGTGCCGTATATTATTTCACCAAGTCTATTTCGTCTTCTGACTTATAGGTAATTTTAAAATGGTGAAGTATGTATAAATATTTATAGGATACTAGTACATGTTTTGTATTTATGTTACTTTTTTATCAATGTGTTTCAATGTGTTTCGAGTATGTTGTTGTTATTAGATTGGTTTTTGGATTGACTCAACTTTAGCAAAACAATAATTTAGAGAAGTGTCCAAGTGTTTTAAATTGGCCTAACATGTTAAAACTGTATAAAGTTGTAGAAAGGTTATATGTTGGGCGCGATGCTCCAACATGTTTGTACAATATCTGGGCCTTATGCAACAGCCGTCAAAATGTTGCGTTTTCAAGTGTGTTATGTAGAAGATTGGTCAATGTTTTTATTATTATTGATTTAACAATATGATTAGATGATTTGTTTGACAACTGTATGAAGTTTAATTCGAATTTAAATGAAGATGTAAATTTGAATTTGAATTAAAAACAAATCATATCTTGTTGGAGATATTCAATGAGCAAATCAAATATCCAATAGATAGTGCAAAGATTCTGGGCAAAAATATCTGAAGATCCACAAGGAAAAAGCTCAGACTTATTTTCTACATAAGGAGATCAAAACCTACATTAAAAGAAAAACACACCCATTGACGATCTTAGAGTGTCTAGGTTTTTGTGGCGTTTATTCACGCTAATGCCTAAGAGGATTGGTTTGAATCTTAATGTACACCATTATGTTTCAGTAACTTGACATACAAGGTTTGTATAGTTGAGTTATAATCAACGTTGTTTATGTACACCTCTATGTTTCAGTAATTTGGCATAAAAGGTTTGTCTAGTTGAGTTGTAACTTTCCACATTCTTTATCTTGTGAAGATTGAAGTTGATCACTAGGGTTTAGTGGTTATTTGTCCATGTCACTAGGATCATAGCAGAGAACAAAGTGAATAGGTTCTCATATTTAGGGGGAGACTCTAAATAGAAAGTCACTAGGTAGCTAGAAAGAGACATTGAATAACATATGGTTTGCTTTCTTGGGTTGTGGGCCCAGTCTCCCAGATGTAGGTGTAGTAGTTTCATTGGATTGGTTAAACAATTTGAGTGTGTTTTTATTTGTTTTTTGCTCCATCATCTATTACTAGTTTGTGCATTGCTTGTGGTTTATGTCGTCGCACCCATTACTAAATCATCTTTTTCGACATCTGTCCCTTGAGGAACGTAATTTTAATTGGCCACTACGCCATAAATGAGTTTTAGCAGCGCACCCTTTAGCAGCGCTTCTTAAAAAAGCGCTGCTAAAGGGTGGGTAAAAAAAAAGAAAAAAAATTTCCTACCTAAGACAGCGCTTTTGAAAAAGCGCTGATAAAGGGGGGCCCTAAGAAAGCGCTTTTTAAAAAGCGCTGCTAAAGGGGGACCTAAGAAAGCGCTTTTTCTATAAAGCGCTGCTATATGGCATTGCTAAGCACCCTAAGAAAGCGCTTCTAAAAGCGCTGCTAAAGGCCTTTAAAAGCGCTGCTAAAGGGGGACCTAGAGGGGGACCTAAGAAAGCGCTTTTAAAAAGCGCTGCTGTAAGTGTGCCTAAGAAAGCGCTTTCCTTAAAAAAGCGTTGCTATATGGTTTTCAAAGAAAGTGCTTTTTAAGCGCTGCTGTAGGTATTAAAATTAACACAGAATTAAGTTAAAATATATTACAGAATTTTTTAAAGAACTAAAACAGAACCAGAATCGCGCGTATACTTTCTTCAGTTTTTCATTCTCCTCCAGCGAACCAGAACCCTATTTGCATTTCTCCTTCTCCGTCCGTTTCACTCCTCCGTCCGACCGACGCCCACCTCCGTCCGACACACAAAGTAGCACATTTCGCCTCCACTGTTACGGTATTTCCGCCATTGTTACGACATTTTTCTTCATTACTCTTTTATTGAAGTTATATTAAAAAAATAGTATTGCATTTTTCTGGATTAGAAGATGTTAGTGTTACCTATTTATGAGTTATTGACTTGTTTTTGTTGATACTAACATCAATGAATTTTGTATAACTTGTATATTGATGAGCATTACTCTTTTGATATTGGTTTGAGTTTTGTATACAAGGTGTCTGTTGAAATGCCACAATGAATTTGTTTTTTTTAATCTTGAAGTTTATTTATTTTCCATGTCATAGTTGCCAATAATGCATGCATGGAGACTACACCAAATCAAGTAATAGAACATAGCCACCTTATTCAAATTAATCAAATCTAGGGAGATAATTATTATAGAGTCATTTTGAGCATTATAAAATAGTTTAGAATAGTTTAGAATAGTTTTGTATGAGTATTATAGAATAGTTTAGTTTAGAGTAGTTTGGAGTCATTTTAGAGTACTTTAGAATAGTTTAGAGTCATTTTGAGCATTATAGAACATAGCCACCTTATTGATTTTGAGTATCACATCAAGTAATAGAATAGTTTAGAGTCATTTTGAGCATTATAGAACATAGCCACATTTGATGAGTATTATATGAAATAGTTGTTTTTTGAGCATTTTAGAGTACTTTTGAATAGTTTGAAATACTTTAGAGTCATTTTGAGTTGTGGAAATTATTATAGAGTTGTTTAGAGTTTGCCTTGAGGACTCTATTGCGTTAAAGACAAATATTGTAACCCTTTTGACGAGTTATGAGAAGATATAAATAATTAGTTAATATGAGATGTATATGAGATTTATTAGTTAATATGAGAAAATAGATAAAATAGAAAAAATAATAATATGATTTATTGGTATTATAAAATGATTTATATTTTAGTATAATTTTTTAGAAAGAAATTAAGAGCTTTTCAAAAATAAGATCATATTTGTCGTGCATTCTTTTACACCAAAAGGATTAAATATTGTTGATTTACTGTTAGTTGAAAAATTAACATACTCGAATAATTTCATATATTTGTTAATTTCGTTGTTGATGTTAATTTCATATATTTACTGTTAGTTGAAAAATTATTTAATGCTGATGATATTATTAATTTTGTCTGTTATAGGGGTTACCTGTGAAGAGCAAGGTTGTGATCGTTTCGAAGCATCCTACTGTGTAGTTTTCTTAGAAGTTAGTGATTTCTTTACAGGTATTCTCCGCATTTGTTTAACTTTCTTAGTTTAGTTTAGACTACTCAATTAGTATGGATAAAAAATGGATGTCTTCCAATCGATTGTCTAAAGAGTACGAGAATGGGGTATCGAAATTCGTTAAGTTTGCTGTTGAACACGCCAAAGACCCCAGTAGGATCACATGTCCTTGCTTAGGTTGCTGTTATGGGCGTCGAATTGATGTCGTTCAGTTGGAATCTCATTTAATGAGACATGGAATTGATCGAAGTTACACATGTTGGACATTACATGGTGAGATAAATAACGAGAATGTTGAACCCCGGAATAATACGACATGTGCTTCAAAGGACAATGGCAGAGATACATATGATTGTGATCGAGTCGAAGAGATTGCAGAAGCACTTGAAGAAGATCTTCAAGATTGTCCCAAGATGTTTGAGAGGTTGGTAAGCGATGCAGAGAAACCGTTGTATAAAGGTTGCACTACTTTCACAAGATTGTCCGCGGTATTAAAGTTGTACAATTTAAAGGCAGGTAATGGATGGTCGGATAAAAGTTTCACAGAGTTGTTAGCCCTACTTCAAGAGATGCTTCCGGAGGATAATGTTCTTCCCAATCGAACCTATGAAGCTAAAAAAATGTTATGCTCTATTGGCATGAGCTATGATAAGATACATGCTTGTCCAAATGATTGCATTTTGTTTCGAAATGAATATGCATCATTAAACGAGTGTCCTAAATGCGGTGTATCTCGGTATAAGAAAAAGTTGTCACCAGCAAAAGTATTATGGTATTTTCCTATAATTCCGAGATTCAGACGCATGTTTCGTAGTGAAACAGATGCAAAACACCTGACTTGGCATGCAGATGATAGAATTGTAGATGGGAAGTATCGACATCCGGCAGATTCACCACAGTGGATGAAAATTGATAATGATTATCCTGATTTTGGAGAAGAAGCTAGAAACCTTCGCTTGGCATTATCGACTGATGGAATGAATCCGCATGGTCTGCAGAGCATCTCACATTCCACCTGG